CCTTAACCGAAGCATAATCAAATCCTAAACATATCCTAAATAAATCCTAAGTAATTCCAAGTAATTCCTATAGCAAATTTAAACCTCATTAATTAATGAATGAACCTTTGATTTTAATTCAAATTTTTCACATCTCTTCACAATTAAGTTGAAAACAAGCACAAATTTTTTGAAGAAGATTGAACACACCAAAAATAAGATCAACTCTAATATTTGCACGGATGTTGGTCAACTTCCTTCTTCAATCTAAATGTTGAATTTCCAGTACCAATATCTCTTTATTGAACTATTCAATTGATCTCAAATTTCTTACAATTGTAGAAAAATAAGTTTACTATCCATGCACATAATTTTCACTTCAATCCAACTAAAAGATTGAAGACATCTTAGAAACCCTCATTAGATCTAAAATTCTATTTTTTGAGACTCTGACCCACTTAAACCTCAATAACCTTCGATCCAATCCTTCGATCTAGCTCAAACTTAAAAAATATATTGAACACATATAAATCCACAAATCCTCAAAATTTAATTTGTAGATCTTTTGCTAAACTTACAAAATTCTCTAAAAAATATCACCCACTTTATTTCACAAATCTAGAGTCATCCAAAACAAATCTCAACTTCGCAAAGCTCTTACAAAGTCAATACAAATCCAAATCACCCAAATCCAATGCTTATCAAAATCTTATGAAGTTTTCTCTCTAATCCTATTCTTTGATTTGCCAAAGAATCTGAGAATCATCATCGAGGCTTCGTTTTGTGACTTGGGATCTGATTTTGACCCTGGTTCATAACTAGCCCTCTCTAGGTATCAATATCTAGTTTTTCTAGGTAATTTTTACTAAAATTTACTCTTAACTTCTTTCAAAAGATGTCTATATTGTTTATTTTTTTGATCTCCTTTAATTTGACTTATTTATGGTCCTACAAAGTAAGTAGAAGTCATTTTTCTAAAAAAGTAATATTACTACTAAAAGTTTTACTACCTTCCTATCTTTTATTCATATTTTTTTATTTTATCTTTTAACTTGGCTCTTCTATAATAAGATCCATATTATCATCTTTCACCATATAGTCATGTTACAACACGACATCACCACATAATTAGCTTATTTTTTAAGCTATTAAAATATGATTAATTTATTGACTAAGTTTCTAACCTAAAAATCAACTACAAACTCATGTAAAATCAAAGTAGCATCTATGAAGCTTCTAAGAAGCATCTCTAGAAAATATTATGAAATAAATTTAATTTTACCTACTTCTACTTAATCATATAGATAAATAATGGAATAAATATGTATGTCTATGATAGTTTGTTTTGTGCGCAAGATTATAATTAAACCAACTTATGACTCTTTTGTTCAATATCACTTAGGTTGTAAAAAAGTTATCAATCAAATTCGATTAACAAACCCTCGAAACTTTGAGCAAGTGCCATCAAATGTTTTTGGAAGACTAATCTAAGGCACCTTATCTTATTGAATAAGTAAATTTTCTTGTTGAGGTACAAGTGCCACTACCTCCTTGGATGTAGAAGCTTGAAAAAGTAATTGCATCATAGGCTGATATGCTCTAGGTCTTACATCACTATGAAATCTTATAATATATTTCTCAATTTTAGTAGTCCTATAAGCTAAAGTGTTCAATGTGTTTATAATAACATCTAACTTAGACTCCAGAGACTCAACTATATTATTATCTTCACTTCCAATCATTTTAGAAAGAAAATAAATAAATAAATAAATAAAAATCCAAAACAATATTAGTTTAGAAGAAGGTACTATGCATCTTCTAAAGCTCTTAAATGCCTTCAAGAAGAGGGATAATCTACTTTGAATCAGAAAAGTTTAAGCTATAGTTTTAATTAGAAGGTAGTCTTGACAAACTCTCACAAATTCACTATACAAGAAACCAAACAAGATGTTGAACAAATGAATTTTAACAAAAAAAACTAACAAGGTCTTAATTAAACATGATGAGTTCAAGATCAACATTAAGAAAGATGAATTAGAGCTCTAAGAAATGTATTATCGGGACTAAAGATATCTTTAACTTTAATTCCAATATATACTAGGTATTAGGAAGCTTTTCAAGAAATTTCAATGTTGCTTAAAGTTGAAGCAACCTTAAGAAATTCCCTAAGAAGTTTCCATGTTACTTGAAGATATAGCAATTTTAGAAAGCTTCTCAAGTAACTTTCTTAATCCATTTTAAACTTTCTAAAATCTACTAAAATATTCTAAAAATCTTCTAAGAATCTTTTAAAATCTTTTAAAACCTAATAGAGTATTCTTAAAATATTCTTAAAATCTTCTTATTAGATGTTTGCAATAGTTATTGCTTCAAATTTTTTTAACTTGTCAAACTTATTTTTAATAATAATTAATAATATTCATAGAAATTTCTATAATTTGTAGATATATTTGATTTCAATGTTATAAAAAAATATCTCTTTTGGCAAATATAGTATTCTTAGTTGCAACTTCAATGCTTTTAAAAGATAAGCAAATTGTAAAATCTTTAAAAAAAACTATAATTACTTATAAAAATAAATTATTTATTTAACAAGAATAAAAGAATGACACTTAAAATCAATCAAAGAAGCAATAAATAAAATAATAATAATAATAATAATAATAATAATATAAGTTTTTAATAATTTGACCAATTATATATTTTTTTATTCCTTATAGTTCTTATTGATTTTTCTTATTAATCTATTATGTTTATTACTTTCTTACAACTACACACTAGTAATGACCTTGTTGCTTTGAATTTCCTTGTGACCACTCTTCTTATGAAACACCTTTGCTAACCTATTTCTTACAAAATCACTGCAGATTGATTTTTAATTTATATGCAATAAATTATTAATTTTTGAATTTATCTTGTAATTCTTTGCATCTATGATTATCTTGCTATCCATAGTAGATTATTTTTTTTAACCTCCTTTTTGATGCAACAATTTCACTTGTCTTAATTGTTCAATGTTGTTTTCTTCTTTTATTTGTTGTTATTGTTTATTTTTGCTAATTGCTACTTTGCTGAAATTATTTATTAATTGCTCTTCTTAGACTTTGTTGTTTCTTTGATTTATTACTTTTGTAATTGGTGGTTTAGATTATTTTATTATATTTTTTTTCCCATTTAGTAGAATTTATGTTTTTTAATAGAATATCTTATTAGATTTTATTTTGAACTTACAAAATTTGTTTGTAGCCTCAAATCTTGCCTTCTTGTTATTCTAATTACTAAATTGCCCTTATTGTAATACTAAGATTTAAATTTCTTTTTGCATACTTCATTTCTTATTGTGTTGTTTACATTGTTAATGGCCAAAACTTGCCATGTACCTAATACATTTGTGGATGAATTTTTCTTACCTTTTCTTAGATTATACTATCTTTAATTAAATTCAAAATCAATTTCTTTTATGATAATTAATTGAATTTTTGCTTAAAGAATGTCTCTTTACACATAATCATCTTTCTATACCTTTAATATTATTCAATTCATACTATATATATATATATATATATATATATATATATATATATAATAACTTTTGCTTTTTTCTTTTAAATTTTTTTAAAACTTCTTCTTATATTAATTTTGCTCTTAATTTCACATCTTGTCAAATTCTAATATTATCTTATATTCTTTGATTGCTTAAACTTTTTTTTTTATCTATTTAATTAATCACCATCTAATCTATTAATCACACCTTGAACAAATCCTCTACTATTAGTTATATATTTATATATAGATTTTATTGATAATATACCAAAATTTAATATTGTACTTTATTCTATAGCTCTACCAAAGCTCATTGCTACATCACTATCTTTTCCTTCTTATTCACTTGAATTGACAATTACAAAATAAAAAAGAAAATACTCTTTCTTATTGATTATAATTTTGACTTGCTTTCATTATAATTAGGTATGCTATATGCACTAAGTGCAAATTGCTACTTATTTTTTCTTCTTCATAATGCATATTATTTTATAAATCAAAATGGATTTGCCAAATTAAAGATATATCTTCTACATGCACAAAGACATATATATTATTTATCAATAATATTTTATATGAGGAAATATAAAATCTTGCCTTAGATTAAATCCTTTTGATAATAGATTAAGATTAAAATTAAAGAATAATGTCATTGGTAATTTTTAATAATGTTATTGATATATATATATATATATATATATATATATATTGGTATCCTTTTTTTAATACTTGATTGATGCAATTTACAATTTAATAAATTACTTTGCAAAATTCTTCAAGTTAGAATTTTAATCAAGACTAATTCATTATTAATAACATCCAAATTTCACAAAGATTATGAATCAAGATTTGGCATTCAAAATCAAAAATTGTACATATCTTTTAGAATATGGCATTCAAAGAAAATATATAAATATATAGTATATTTCTTAGGTTGTTTTCAAATATAAGTATTTCTATGTAATAGGAAGATCCTCAAATGACTCTTTTTATTTTAAAATTATTTTTTTAGCCATTATTCAAATTAGGTTAAAGATGAATTACCTTTAGTATAGCAAATTATTAATAAGTCTTTGTAAAGAAGATCCATTTCTAATTATATTATTATATTTTATTTTAAATTTATTTTTATCAATGTTAATAATTTGTAACCTAGTGAAATCTCTTGTGTATCCATCTTTTGTACCCATTTGGATGCTTCTTGCTTATGACCCTTTTAATAAAATAAATAAAGAATAACTAATAACCACTTTGAAAATTAAACATTTTTACACTTGTTGCAACTTTGTGCCAATTCCTATTAAATACGAACAATAGATGTTGCATAAATATTGTGTAGCTTCAAACATCATTATGTCTCTTAGGTTTATGTTGCAATTTACAATCTACATGTGGTGTCGGATTTTCTGTTTAAAACCCTAACCCTAAAATTAGAATAAAGTTACTGCTATTCGAAAGGACCTCCTCCCACTTTTGAGTTGCAGAGTCGACGCTTTGCCTGCCATACGACGCATTACTCTTGCCTATCGAAGCCCCATCTGCACGCACAGTACCGCGCAAAGGAACTCCAACTGAACGACATTGTCGCATTAGGGTTTTGCCATAGCTTCGATGCTTCAGTTCGGCGATGGCCCGTCCCGTCGCCTTGCGCAGGGCGACCTCTGCAATGGGTGGGGCTCGGGAGCTCTCCGTTGCATACGATACTTCACGTGCAGTATTAGTCATACTTGAGCAGTAGTTATCCGCCCTTGTTTTTGGTCGATGGGTTCTGCAGCTACGAGTTCTTTTGGGGAGACTATGTTGCGCCTCCGTTTTGTTATGTGTTTGTGAGGGAAGATGTGCAGCATGAAGCTAGCTCTTATTGGCTAGAATCGCTGTGGCATAGTATTGTGCATTACAATGTGTACTTTAAGAACAGGGGGTAGCTCTGCAATAGGTTTTGAGAAAAATTCATACATCTGTTAGGAACCCTGTAAATTGTCGTCACTTGTGATTTTAGGCTTGGAGTTGGTGTATGTTTTGATAGCTATGGAAATCCAAGATTCTGTTGCAGCTGCTTGCCATGCTGACCGACAGCGCCTGCTTGAGGTCTTTCGAGTTGCCATCGCCAAGCCTTTGCCTGCATCTCAGACTGCAGTTGCTACCATGGTTGAAGCCGTGAAACCCCAAAAGCAGACTGTTCTAGTACAGGACGAGAACCAGCTCTTGGAGAATGGCTTGAGAACCCTTCTTGAAGAGCTTGTCGGTGCAGCAGTTGCAAATGGCAAGTCGGTCATGCAATATGGTCGAGCAGAGGGTCCCGAAGATGATGGGAATGGTCTTCTCACAAGACTTCTTGACATTGTCTTGTACTTGTGTGAGAAAGGCAATGTCGAAGGGGGCATGATTTTCCAATTACTTGAGGATCTAACAGAGGTTTCCACTATTAAGGATTGTAAGGAAGTTTTTGGATACATAGAGGGGAAGCAAGAGACTCTTGGAAAGTCGGAGCTTTTCAGTAGGGGCAAGCTTGTTATGTTACGGACTTGCAACCAGCTCCTTCGCCGGTTGTCCAAGACAAATGATGTCGTCTTTTGTGGCAGGATCTTAATGTTTCTGGCTCATTTTTTCCCCCTCTCTGAGAGATCGGCCGTGAACATTAAAGGAGTATTTAACACCTCGAATGAAACCAAGTACGAGAAAGAGCCGCCTGGGGATAGTCCAGCCATTGATTTTACGTTCTACAAAACCTTCTGGAGCCTTCAAGAATACTTCTCCAACCCTACTACCCTAACTCACCCCTCAAAGTGGCAGACCTTTTCTTCAAATTTAGGAATAGTGCTGGAGACCTTTGAAATGCAGCCTATAGGTGAGGAAGACGAAAGCTTAAGTCTAGATGGCGATGATGACTCAACATTCAACATTAAGTACCTTACGAGCAGTAATCTCATGAGCTTGGAACTGAAGGACCCTGGTTTCCGTAGGCATGTCTTAGTTCAGTGTCTAATTATATTTGATTACATGAAGACTCCTGGAAAGGCAGAGAAAGATGGGCCACGGGAGGGTGTTCGTGAGGAGCTCAAGGTGCATGAAGATCGTGTGAAGAAGCTGCTGAGGACAACTCCTCCGAAGGGAAGAGAGTTTCTTGCTTCCATTGAGCACATTCTTGAGCGCGACAAAAATTGGGTCTGGTGGAAGCGTGATGGGTGTATTCCGTTCGAGCGTTTTGTGCAGGAGAAGAAAATACCTTCAGACCCTCCAAAGAGAAGACCTAGATGGCGACTTGGAAATAGAGAGCTTTCTCGCCTTTGGAAGTGGTCTGATGATAATCCCAACGCCATTACTCATGCCAAAAGAGTCAAAATGCCTCCCTTGGCCGAGTACTTCAAGCCTCTTGCTGAAGATATGGACCCTGAAGCAGGAATAGAGGAAGAGTACCATCACAAGAATAACAAGGTCTACTGCTGGAAGGGCCTTAGATTTGCTGCAAGACAAGATCTCGATGCATTGTCAAGGTACTCGGACATGAAAATCATGGGTGTCGTACCTCCAGATCTCCTCACCCCTGAGGTGCGGAGTTCACTTTACAAGCCTACAGACCGACCTAAGGCAAAGGGGGTGAAAAAAGATGAAGAATACACTCCCAATCTTACTCAGGTGGCCTTACTATTATCACTCATTTTGTGTTCCAACTCGTGTAATTCCATGCCCTTTCGCGTCGTCCCCGTAGATTTGACTAGTTTCATCTAACGGAGCTCTTGTGATTTTTTTAAGGTTCATACTTATGTAGTTATCTTAGAGTATACTACTTGTCGTGTATATGGCTTTTTTTTTTCTTCTTTCTACTTAAATTACCTGGTTTTCAGACGGAGGATGCATCAGGAAGTGCACCCACCAGTGTGAGCTTGATGGAGTTGGATGCCACGACGCTTGCTCGAGATCCAGAGGAAGCTACTGCTATGGACGCAGATGGTCCGGCAGTAGCAGACGTAGAGCCTGAAGCAGACCCAGAACCGGAAGCGGAAGCGGAGCCAGAGCCAGAACCGGAGCCGGTGGTAGAACCGGTGCCACTAACTGATCTGTCAGACGCAAAACCAGAAACAGTTCAAACGCCGGTAGAAGCTGAACCTTCTTCATCTAAAGTAGTCTCCGAACCTCCGCCAGTAGGAAATCAATCTCCAAGTCCTCTAAAGTCAGAAGCTAGAAGTGGTAAAAAAAGGGCTCACCCTGACGACTAATAGGTGCTTAAAGGGTAGTGTAGAGTAGTTGCTTGGACCTGGAAGAACCAACCCACCCCCACGTTCACCCAGGAATTCCTTCGGATGAAGGTGGATGAGACAATGCTTGTGTGTTCATTTAGAGACCCCACGAGACTAAATTGAGGTCTAGGAAATCAAGTTTGGGGTGAAATTTTTCCAAAAATAAAAGTTGTACGGGCCTTGCAATGTTTCTGCGCTACTTTCATCTGTGGGTGAGCCTGGAGGTCAATTCTACCTGGCGATGCTTGCACATAGCAAAACATTGGAAACCATGATTAAGGTGGCCCTCCTTGGGACTTACAAATGAGCACAGTTGTAAATTGAACATTCCGCCCACACATAGGTGTCTACATCGTGTTGTGCGGACTCTGTATGAAAGTGGAGATTTTTTTCTCCAGGAAATACTCTTTAATGTCAAGAATTTTAAGGTAACGATACAGTTTCATTGAAATGCCATGGACTACACACACTGTAGCTTTGTCTTTTTCGTTTTCGCTATTGTCCATCATCTGAATTCTGGTGGTATAGAATTAAGACTCGTTGACAATGTTGGCTTTATTTGAAGAGTACTGTTTCAATGTAGAGCAAGGCTACGAGTACAGTGTAAGTTGTTGATTTATTGTCGGTAACATCGGACATAAGTTCATGAAATTAACAGGATCCCACATACTTATTGGTATGTATTTTTGTCTTTCTGTGGGTGGGAGAGAGTTGGATGTATGCCCGATCGATTGATAGCATCTGAGACCTACTCAAAACGTTGATTTAGGAAGAAATACCATTCCATTTGGAGTCCATAGATATTCCACTCATATGGTGCCAGACCGCTTGATGGTTTCTCTAGATTTATGTTATTTGAACACTAGGATTAAAGGAAGATGACTAGGTGCACGAAGTGTGTGTTTAGTAATTAGTTCAGCTTTATCAAGTAACTTACATATGTTAAAAGAATTTGTGGTTGCTTATAAGGTCAACACTTTTGATTTATTGCCTGCAATGTTTCAGGTCCATTAATAAATAAAAATATTTAATATGCTATTGTTATGTTGGATTTGGTATAATCCAATAATTTTCTAAAATTAGATAATTTTTTGCTTGTATTGAAAAAAATTTACTTATAGCTTTTATTATTTTGTTTGCAAAGAAACTAGCTCCTACATTTTTTCTTAAAGAATTTGCATTTATAATGAATAATTTCTTTTAGTATACTTTTATAATAATAGAGATTAATAATAAAGAGTAAGTGTTTATAAAGAAAAAATTCCACCTTATTTTTAAGTAATTAGTCACTAATGGTTTTGACTTCTACCAACCTGTAATTTCCTATTTTTATTTTTAATATATATATATATATATATATATATATTATGGTGCTTTAGAATTTAATTTCTTAATTATTTTTATTAAAATAAAAATTATTTCTATTGATTGAATTAAGATAAAAAAATAAAAAATAAAAAAATATTCAAAGATAAACTCATCTTAAAGCAATCATCTTTTATACCAAGTTCTAGGTGGTTTTGACTTCTAAAAGAAAATAATAGTATTATAGATTTTTACTAATGTATTTTAGTATTTTAAATCTAATGCATTTTATTCCAAATAATTTTAATTATCTATAATGCTTTAGAAATGACCATAATTCTAAAATAAAGAATAAAATAAAATAAAACCATGGCATAAAGAAGATATTAATAAAATATTATCTTACAAATTAATTTTTTATTTTATTTGGATTCTAACTAGCAAGTATGCGTATTTTGTTAATGTCATCCTAGATTAGTATTTTTTTTAAATATTTATTTTATCATAATTTTGTATCAACATAATTCAAATAAAATCTAATTTAAAAAATTAACATCAACAAATTTTATCTTTTAATAACTTATTTCACATGATTTATATTTTATTCATCATTACTTTGTTTTATTGTATTAGATTCCATTCTAACCTTCCATTGATATAAGTAACTTGTAAAAGACTTTCAAATTACTTTTAAATTATTTCCTTCATTAAAAGCTATCTTAAGCATTAAAACCATTCTTATTCACTAATAATTAACAAATAAGGGAGTCTAAAGTGATTAGAATCTAATTTAAAAGATAGAATAGAAAAAATTCTCTTTTGAACTTTTTTACCTTCAAATTCTTACAAAAACTCAAAGTTAGTTCTCAATAACTGAAAAGCTATTTTTATAGCTTTACTTCATTCAATAAGTTTGTCTAAGTTTTATAAATCTTTACAAAACTATTTACATTCAATATGCACTTGAATTTTCTAAAACTCTCTTTAATGCTCTAAATATCTTAGATTAAGTATAATAGAATTTATTTCCTTCAAAACTCACCTTTTCTAATGAAATATGCCTACAAAATATAATAATAAAGACCATTAATTTTAATATTAGCAAGCATATTCAGATCTTATTACTAAAATCTAAAATAGGACAAATTTAGATTTTTAGTCTCAAAATACATCCATTATAATGAATGTAAGAATTTCCAAATTAGTAGTATTATTTTTTAAAAAATATTTTATATCCAAAATTTAAGGTTATTTCTTTAAAATTTAAAAATAATCTATAAATTTTTTATTTTTTATTTTATTAAATTATATATATATATATATATATATATATATATATTGAAGAAACATAATAGATATAAGTATCAATATAAGAAAGACCCTTAGATGCATGTATAAAAGAATGTATGGAGTAGGATGGCTTTTGCTTCTAATAATCATTATTTATAGGTAGTAGATATATTATAAGGTGTCTTATTATTAGTCCTTATAATATCTTATCTTAATATCTTATCATCTTTTAATTAGTCCTTACAAGATGATTGTTTTAAACTATTGTCTACTTTTGAGTTGGCCTTAGTAATATGCAAAGGATATCTTTTGTCTTTAAAATTATTATTTTAATAAGACACAATAATATGTTTTTTTATTTTTTTTCTTCCTAATAAAAGTCAATAATATTATCTACCGTACAATCTAAGCTACCATATTATCTATTTGATTTTATCTATAGTAGTTTTTTGACCATTAAAAACCTATAATAATAAAAGCTTTAGGATGGTTATTATCTAATAATTATTATTCAGCCTCATTTATTTTAATTTTTCTTATAAATATGTTAAGATAATTATTTATATTGGATAGCTACTATAACTTTGGTAGATATTACTATATAAATAAGCATCCATGTGAATGTTGTTAGTTTTTTAAATTAATATAAGCATATATTAGATTCTTTTTGTCATGGATACACTATATAAGAAACCAAACAAGAAGTTGAATGGAAGAGTTTCAACAAAAAAGCTAACAAGAACTTGATTGAATCAAATGAATATAAGATCAATACCAAAAGAGGTGAGCTAGAGCTTCAAAAGATGTATTCTCAAGAGTGAGAATCCCCTCAACCTTGATTCCAATGTATACTAGGTATTTGGAAGCTTCTTAAAAAGTTTCTATATTGTTTAAAGATGAAGCAACCATAGAAAGCTTCTCGAGAAGTTTTCATATTGCTTGAAGCAATCCTAAAAAGCTTTTTAGAATTCTTTAATCCTCATAAAACTTCCTAGAATTTGCTCAAATATTTTAAAAACCACCTAAAATTGTTCAAAATATTTTAAAGATATTTTTAGAATCTTATAAAATCTTCTAAAATCTAATATGATATTCTAAGAATATTCTTAAAATCTTCTTACTAGATGTCTTTAATATCACTTCTTCTAATTCCAAGTTCCACAAGGAGTATTGATTTCATATCTGTTTTCTTTATTACATATAATATTCTAAAAATAACTTTATAAAAAAGTCATCTTAAAATATGTTTAGGTTTTTGAAGATAGTATCAATGATGTTCTTATATTATTGTAGTGCATTAATTATATTTTTTGCTGATTTCCACATATACTCATTGATATCATAGCTGTGCCAATGAATAAAATATTTTAACTTACTTCTTCTTTGTCAAGAATCAAAGATCTTTTCTACCTCATAATCCATATGATAATCTATTTCAATGCAAAGTAGTGATAGTTGTATTTTTCTTGTAATAGTTAATTTTGAATAAGCTTCTAAAAAAAAAACATGAAAGATTGGATGTACCTTCATAGATACAAGTAATTCCAACAGATAAGTGACTAGATTGACTTGTTTTTGAATACAAAATGGCCTTAGTTTTTGATAGTCAAACTTATTCTAAGATTGATTGGTCTTGATATTTTTTTAAAGAAGGCATACTTTATCTTTAATTTAAAAAGTAAGGAATTCTTTTCTAAATTTATTTGAAGATACTTTGTAAGAATCTTATGCTGCTTGTAAATGGAGCTTCAAAGTTGTCCAGAGCTATAACAATTTTTTTGTAAGATCTTTAGTTGCTAAATTTTCATCTTTTGATGTACCTAACAAATCAAGCTTCGGATGATAATCATAATTGAAATAAAATTATATTTGATGAGTTGAAGCATGAAGAGTATTATTATAAAGAAACTCTACTACAAATAAATACAAGGTCTAATTATCTTGTTGATAGTTGATGGTACATTTTAAATGCTACTCCAAAACTTCATTGACTCATTTTGTTTGACTATCTATTTGAAGATAAAAGACAAAAGAAAGTTTAGTATCTACCTTGAATATTTTAAAAAATGATTTTTAAAACTTTGATATAAATTAAGTTCCTTGATAAAAAATGATGTTATCAAGTAAGCCATGATATCAATGTATATATATATATATATATATATAAGAAAGAAACTTTCTATTTTTTCTTCAAAAATTATTTTTTTGTATGGAATAAAATTTGCCATCTTTGTAAGTTCATCTACAAAAACGTAGATAGCATCAAATATAGCTAATGGCAACATACTAATGATGAAATCTATTGATACTAAAGACCATGGTTGCTTTGGAATTGATAGTATCTATAGAAGTCTATAAGAATAATATTGGAAATTTTTGGATCTTGAACAAATATTATACAAGAAGACAAAGTCTTTCATGATCTTCTACATTTGAGACCACCAAAAATCTTGAAAGACAAGCTCCAATATTAAATCCAAAATATCTTGTAGCTAGAAAATCATGTTGAGATTGTAGAATACGAAGTTACATCAATTCTTCTAGAATATGTAAATGATACTCAAAATACAAAAGATCTTCTATAAATTTGAATTTGTCATTCTTAGTACTCTACTTGATATTTCAAATTAATGAGTCCTTCACTTATGCTATACAAATTTATTCAAGAAAACTTGAATCAAAACATATAACCATAGAAGTAGCTTAAAGACAAAATTATTTTTGCTTCAAGAAAGTAGTATATTGCTGATCAAATATTACTTCTTTGGCCTTTGAATGAAGATATGATCACTTTGATAAAGTATCTAGTAGTCCTTGTTGCTTTCTTGGCCAAATTG